TCTATCTTCTCTTTGTTGCCTACCAAAGTGAGAACTATTTGATTTGGGTAATTCCAGCAGGAGGCATTATAAACGAAAAAGCATCATAAATACTATATTCTATAATTGCTAAGGTTAATATTATACAACTATTAATTCAGAATGCATTTCCTACCCATTATGAGTAATATAACTTAATTTTAACCACAATAATGTTTACTAAACAATTAAGTCAGACAGAATTTATTTCAGTGAACCACAGTGTTCCCTAAAATATCTTTTATGTAGTGTATGGTTCTGTAGCATGTTGATGGACAGCATTGAAGCCAAAAAGAGAAGTGTCCTACAAATACTTTAGACCTTCACTTCTGTTATAAGCCACTTGTAAATTCTTAAGGAGAAGGGAATTAATAAACGTATCTGAAGAAACTGAAAGGGTTATCTATCCCCTTGAACTCGATAGAGCCACTTCTACCTAAGACTATTCTTTCTGTAGATGAGAAGAATACATAAGTGTCTACATGAAAATTCATACAAGAACATTCTACTGTGTGCACTATTACATATGCCTCTTTAAAATTCCACTTTTTAAAAAATTGCTTATTGAAATGACACTTTCTCCAGGGCTTATCACTTAGGACCATTAGCAGTGGTTTCAGTGAGCTCACTTTTATCTTGAATATTCTTTGAAAGTTAAGTGTGGAGTTCAGTTGCTACAAGAGGCGTCAGTCAGTCTTAATGTTTTGAGGAGGGCGGTATAACTTTAAGGAAAACAACTTGGGTGGTTCAGATACTATTCTTAAATTGTGTCATACAGAAAGTACTTGAAAACGGTTTCAGTGAGGTGAAGCAACATAGCACACTGCCAGGACTGTTAAGTAACTTCTAAGACAACGGTTTGAGGAGCAAATGATCTTTTGATTCAGTGGCATTTTATCATCGTTTCATTCTCCAGTTACATTCCTGTCAGAATTTTTGTTCTTTTGGGAATTATTTAAATTATATCCTATCTATCTATCTATCTATCTATCTATGAGTGTGTGTGTATAACATTATATAACATACACAAGATATATAACAAATACTTATATATAACATATATAGAATAAATGTTATTTGTATGATATGTATTTTATATATATACATATATAAAATAAAATAGTAAAATTAGAAGTCATTGTTGACTACTCGGGGCAGCCATTGGCAATATATTTTTTTCATGAAGGAAATACATTTATATAATGGGAAACATTTTAAAAGGAAGGCTTAAGAAGCACAACTGTAATGGGTCTAGTGTGACCCAGTTGCTATATTTATATTTTATTTTAGTACATGCCATTTTTGGTTTATTGCTGTTTTTATTTTAATACAAATAGAGAAGCAACAGATATAAGGAAGCTTGGTGATTGTGGAACTACCTATTCTCCTTTAAAAAGAAGAAAAAAGTGAAGTTGTCCAAGTACGTAGGTTTATTAGAAATAAAGTAGCTCAAAGGAGCTATGAATAAGTGATAGTTACCTTGAATTACCAATGAAAGAGCTGTTTTTATTAACTTTACAAGTGTGATGTTCATGTATAATAGCAATCACAGTTTCGTAGTGTGGAACTTAAATGATTTATGGTATCATCTTTTTAAAAAAGTATTTCTTTATTTAATTTTATTTGTTATTATTATTATTTAAATTTGACCAAAGAGACACAGAGAGAGAGAAGGGGAAAGTGAGAAAGCAAGCCACCAGGTCTGGGCCTCAAACCATGGTCAGCCATTTGGGAGTCCAGCACCTTAACCATCACACCACCTACTGGGTCTTATGGCATTATCTTTAATAAATTAATTAAGTAGGAGTTCTTACCTTATCAGAATAATTTTCCAGAATAAGTCACATTAGGGGAAAATATTGCTTAAAAGTAGATATTTAAGCTTAGATATCAGAATATTTGAAAGTAAATAAATATGGGGGGGGCGATTCCATTGATTTTAGTCAATTTTAATGGGGTTGTAGAACTTAACCTCAAACTTCTCATAATTATTAATAAATAATATGAATCTGTGAAATACGCTGCTGGTGTTCTCTTGTTCACTTCATAGCTTTCACTTAACAATAGTGTCCTTTAGTTTCTTTTAAAGTTTCACTAGATTCACAGAAAAGTACTGGATATTATCGGGGCCAGAGAGCCCAGAAATGTATATGGTGTGCCAACTAGACATTATAAATTTAACAGACGTTATGTGCAAACTGAGTAACTGAGAGTGAATCCCGCGTTATAGTAATTGGGCTAGATGCAAATTTATAGTTACTTTTATTGAAGAGAGTGGTTATTCAACTTTTTTCAATGAAAGAAAATTATACACTAGCACTTTATTAGCTTTGTCTTAGTATTCAAATTATATTCTCGTTAAGAAATTTACTTAAGGCTTGTTTATGGCTAATTCTTTTCATCCTTCCCACATTTGGTGTGACTCTCTTATGCCAGATAATGTGCTATGATTGAAACAAAGGAAATTTTGTTCTTTGGCTTTAAAAATCTTCCTACTGCCAAAGGCCTTTTGTTTTTAAAACTAAAATTTTTAATTTGTTGTAAACTGGATTCACCCATCTAAGAAATATAGTTATATTTGTTAATCTGACAATATAGTTTATCAATGAAGTTTTTTCCCCTCCAAAAATAGAAATGTTAAAATTTTACAGTGTTTACATTATTAAATCAAATTAATGGGGGCAGGCAGGTGGCATGGTGGTTCGAGCACTGGACTCCCACAAGGCTGACCACGATTCAAGCCTGGCGGCTTGCCTTCTCCTTTCCCTTTCCCCATCTCTCTGTCTCTCTCTGGTCAAATAAAAAAAAATAACAAGAAATTGAATTAAATAAATAAATCATTTTATAAAAGAAACTAATGAAAACATCCATCATCTTATGTACTTATTTCTTTATTTTTGTTTTGAAAATGTTTAAAATTCTTCTCTTTCAGCCATTTAAAAATAGTAAAATGTGTTATTATTTATTGTAGCCATCATTCTGTGTGTAATAGTTAACTAATGTATCAAAACATCACATTGTACCTCATAAATATATACAATTATTATTTGTGAATTAAAAAATAAAATTTATTTTAAATCTTTAAGTAATTTCACAGCACTGATTAACATAGTATTTGGAATTTTAAAACTAATTAAGAATGTATGTCTGTTCTAGAGAAGTAATTTGATTTATCAGGATAAGAAGGCTCTCATAAACTAAATTTCTTCATATTCCTTAATACTTTTTTTAAGTCTTTTGGGGTTTTTAAAGTTTTTTGGTTTTGTTTTTGTTTTTCCCATTTCTTTGCAGTAGGGCGTATATGCTCCCAGAAGAGAGACAGAGAGAGGAAAAGTGAGAAATCACCCCCATGGGGCATGGCCACACCACAGTCACCTTCTCTTCCATGCTCCTCTTGTGATTTGAGGCATGTACACATGTCCAGCATGATTTTCAAGCTGCTGGGTCCCAGGCTTGAATTGCGGTCAACCCTGTGGGAATCCAGTGCCTTAACTTCCACACCACATACTGGCTCCAGTGTTTTGATTGATTGTTTGCTGCTATAGGTCATGTTCGCTCCCCAAAGAAAGAGGAAAAGAGAGAGAAAAGGAGAGGGAAAGCGAGAAATCATCCCCTAGAGGGGATGATTATGCCTCAGTGTTTAAAATTCTTCTCTTTCAGCCATTTAAAAATAGTAAAATGTGTTATTATTTATTGTAGCCATCATTCTGTGTGTAATAGTTAACTAATGTATCAAAACATCACATTGTACCTCATAAATATATACAATTATTATTTGTGAATTAAAAAATAAAATTTATTTTAAATCTTTAAGTAATTTCACAGCACTGATTAACATAGTATTTGGAATTTTAAAACTAATTAAGAATGTATGTCTGTTCTAGAGAAGTAATTTGATTTATCAGGATAAGAAGGCTCTCATAAACTAAATTTCTTCATATTCCTTAATACTTTTTTTAAGTCTTTTGGGGTTTTTAAAGTTTTTTGGTTTTGTTTTTGTTTTTCCCATTTCTTTGCAGTAGGGCGTATATGCTCCCAGAAGAGAGACAGAGAGAGGAAAAGTGAGAAATCACCCCCATGGGGCATGGCCACACCACAGTCACCTTCTCTTCCATGCTCCTCTTGTGATTTGAGGCATGTACACATGTCCAGCATGATTTTCAAGCTGCTGGGTCCCAGGCTTGAATTGCGGTCAACCCTGTGGGAATCCAGTGCCTTAACTTCCACACCACATACTGGCTCCAGTGTTTTGATTGATTGTTTGCTGCTATAGGTCATGTTCGCTCCCCAAAGAAAGAGGAAAAGAGAGAGAAAAGGAGAGGGAAAGCGAGAAATCATCCCCTAGAGGGGATGATTATGCCTCAGTCCCTTCTCCTCCTATCTCCTCTTGGGATTTAGAGCACGCAGACATACATGCCCTGTGTGATTCTCAAGCCACGGGGTTCAGGACTTAAAACTGTAAGCTGACCACAACGCCTTAACACTCATGCCATCTGCTGGCCCTCATACCTGGTTTTACAGACATAGTGGTGACACCTTAAATTCCAGGAAAATCTTCATTACAGAGTTTAGCCTCTCCAAAGAATTCTCTGTCTAATAATCCTCAAACTATGATTTGAGAAGAAACATATTTTGCCTAGACTGCATGTTTTTAAAACTATTTTCATCAGCAAATTCCACTGAAGGTCTTTAGTAAGGAAACTGCACACAGATGTTCTTGTGCTCTAGGCATGTTGCTTCTCTCCATGGATGTTCCCACCACCTAAACAAGTGCGTGGAGTGCTCCTCTCCTGAGCTTTCATGGTGATATTCAAGTATCCAATCCCTTTAGGTATCTGCACGTGTGATCCCAAGGAATGATCAACATTGTCCTTTTGTTTTCTTACTAGGTGATGAAAATGTGGTATATGCGTGACATGTGGGTTACTTCTTTGTTTTTTGCCACTTATTAATCTCTCCCCCCCTTTTTTTCTTAATTCTAGGCTGTTTGATGTGTGCACAGTATCACGAACAGACAGAGAAACCAAACTAACGTTAGTGTTTGAACATGTTGATCAAGACTTGACCACTTACTTGGATAAAGTTCCAGAGCCTGGAGTCCCCACTGAAACCATAAAGGTATCAAGAATGATCTTTTTGCCTGATCAGGCAGTCCACTATAATAGTTATGAACAGGAGCATTGTTTTCTTATGAAAATTGCCAAAATTTAAGCCTTGGAACTTGATAATATATAGTTGAAAATACCAACTAACTGAATGTTCAGAGCGGGATATATTCTAATTCATCAACTAAGTGGCATGTTCCAAGAATGGTGTTATATGCTAGTTCATTAATTTTAGAATGAAGTGAAGAAATCCTTCAGTTCTAATGTCTATTAAAATTATTTTAAAATATGTTTGTAGCTTTTGTGGCCCATTCTTAAAAAGTATAGTGAAATAAGTGTAGCTCAGCCTTTTCTGAGGGTTCATGTCTCTCAGTGACATAATTTAAAACATCAGTCATGAGTACATTGCTTAATTGTACACTGAACCATGGCCATAGAAATCTGAAATATGGTTGTTTGACACCTTTCTTCATTTTTTCTCATTCATAAATTATTTACAGGAAGACTGAGTGCCAGGTGCTATACCTATCTCTTAGGATTCAAAGGTGATTGAAACACATTTTCTGTCCTTAAAGGTCAGAAAGATAGATAGAGTGTAATTTTTTTTTTTTTGAGAGTTTTTTTTTGCTATAGGGCACGTGCGCTCACCAGAAGAACAGAGACAAACAGAGAGTCAGAAAGTGAGAAGTCACCCCCAAGAGGGGATGACCACATCGCAATCCTTTCTCCTCCATTCTCATGGGATTTTGGACCTGCACACATATGTGCCCGGCGTGAGTTTAAGCCACCAGGTCTGAGACTTGAACCACGGTCGACTACATGAGAGTCCAGCAACATAGCCATTACGCCAACTGCTGGTCCCAGATACAGTGTATTAACTAGAATTTATTTCTTCCTTTAAGTGTAATGGGAAAGGCTGCTTATTAAGTTTTATTGGTCTTCTTTCCATTCTGTTTCATTGAACTTCCCAGTAGATCTTTTAGACTTATATGTATTATGTACAGGTCATCATGAACATCTTTTTGTTTGTGTGAATTAGATGGCTTAATAGACTCCCTACCTTATCATTCATTGTTCAAAAATGAGTTATAGGGAACCAGCAGTTAGCGTTAATGGCTATGTCGCTGGACTCCCACGTAGTCGACCATGGTTCACGTCCCGGACCCGGTGGCTTAAAACTCACGCCAGGTGCGTGTGCATGCGTGCCCAAGATCCCGAGAGGAGAATGGAGGAGAAGGGATTGCAGCATGACCATCCCTCCTGGGGGCGGGGGGTGATTTCTCGCTTTCTGTCTCTATGTCTCTCTCTGTCTGTCTGGTAAGCACACGTGCCCTATAGTAAAAAAACCTCTCCAAAAAAAAAAAAATGAGTTATAGAGTTCAGCATCATTTTAGATAAGAGTTAATAACTGGAAATCATTTATCTTCTCAACAGAGTAAGAAACGTCTTTTAGTGATAGTGAGATGGTGATCAAAGATACTATATTTAGAATGTGACATGCTAAATGATTTATTTCTTTGGTTTTAGACTGATTCCCAGTATATTTTCTTCCATCTGGCTTTCATCGAGAAATATGGTGATTAGCATTAGACCCATTTCTTCCTGAGGACATTAAGGCTCTCTAGATGTAGGCTTTCCTAATTACATTTTCTTGGTCCTCTTATACCTCTGCCCTGCCCTTCCTTCCATCACTCTATTACAGTCCTGTGCCTTCTGATCTCTCTTTTTATAAGTTTGTCTAAAAACCTGTTCAGCATGCAAAGCAGGGCATAATCCCTTTTCATATGCTCTGTTTTCTGTCCAGATTGGATTCATCACTGTTCTCTCGGTATGGTCTGTGACTTTCCACCTTGGTGGAGATTTCTTTTGATTCCCCCACCAATAATTGTCTACCTAGATTTTTCAAGGCTCACCCCAAAACCGTTCTTACAGCTGAGTAAGAGTTGCTTCTAACACTTGTTCTTCGTAACTGTCTCTTTATCTTGTTTTCTGCATTTAATTGTGATTGTTTATGTATTTATCCATTCATTCTGGTACTCTGACAGTGCTTTGCACAGTGATATATGCATACAGGTACTCAATAAATGAGATATGTACCGAGGCTTCTTCAGATATAATTACTTCAGAATAATTTTTTAAATTATCTCCAATGGCTATATATGATCATTGCCTTTTTCTGATACATTTCTAAGTTCAGAGTTATTTGGGGGCATCTTTTTTTTGTTAAACATTGAGACAAAGTAACCATCTACTTAGAGCATGTGCCAGCACTGATCATTCGAGCTTCACCTTAAATTCTTCTTAGATATTCCAGGCTGCTATGTGGATTTGCAAAAGTATCTATGGAGTTAAAATGGTTCCTAAGCCAGAATGGTACATTAGACTAAGATTTAACCAGGCAGGGGTAGAAATGAAGTGGAATTGAGGAATTCTCAAGGATGAGGGAGGTGGAAGAGCAAGCTGGGTAGGAAGAAAAATAGGCAGAAGTTGTCAACAAAGTAAGGTAAAGGAGGAGTGCAGAAATAGTTGAGTATGGGCTTATTTCCAGAAGTTTTCTAGCAAGGTGATTTGCTTGACTTGTTAAAAGTTAAGAGTTTTCATCTGTCTCCAGAGAAAGAGAATGCCACTTCATTCTGTGTTGAATAGCAGATCCTCCTGAAGGCTGTTCAATTTCTTCATCCATCAGCACCCTCACTCACAGTCTGGAGGCAGTAACAAGAGACTCTGATTATTTACGATTTATGGTTAATAGTATATTGAGGTTTTTGTAGTAAATAAAACCATGGTCAAATGAAATATTTTAGGCAATTAATTTGTATGTTAATAGTTAATCAAACATTTTTTTTGCCAGTTTATAGGTTAATCAGAAGACCCTTTTTTGTCTTCATCCTTAATTTAAAAAAAAGACTTTGAATAATACTAATCTGCTTTCCTTCCTTACCAAATATGAGATTTTTTTTGAGGTTTTTGCCTTAGGGCACATGCGTTTAAGAAGAAAGAGAGAGACTGAGACAGCAAAAGGGAAAGTGAAAAATCACCTGCCAGTGGTGATGGCCACATAATCCCTTCACCTCCATTCTCCTCTGAGATCTCAGGCATGCACGCACACGCTCCCAGTGTGAGATTCAAGCTACCAGGTCTGGGATTCGAACCAGAGTCAGCCATGTGGGAGTCCAGCAACGTAACCACTATGCCATTTGGTGTCCCCTAAATATGAGATTTAAAAAAATATTTGATGTGGGACTAGCAGGTGCCATAGTGATTACGTCGCTGGACTCCCACGTAGTCAACCATGGTTTGAGTCCCATACCCAGCAGCTTAAAACTGTGCCGGGGGATCAGCAGACGGTGTAATGGTTACATTGCTGGACTCCCACATAGTCAACCATGGTTCAAGTCCCAGACCCAATGGCTTGAAACTCCCACAGGGTGCTTGTGCTTGGATGCCCAAAATCCTGAGAGGAGAATGGAGGAGAAGGGGTGGCGGTTTGGTCATCCCCTGGGGGCTGATTTCTCACTTTCTGTCTCTCCATCTCTCTCTGTCTCTCTGGTGGGCTTACACACCCTATAGCAAAAATCTCTCTCACAATATCAGCTAAACTTAGTATTGAAAGTATTCAGATTAATTAAGGTATTTTGTGAATCAGTACATTGTGGGAAAGAATAAAGGAATGAAAAGCAACTGTAGATACCAGAGACAAGGTAGGAGGAGGCTGGGAAATGGCAGAGGGTGAGAATTGGGAGGGGGGGGGAATATATATGGAATATATATATATATATATATATATATACACACACACAAGAAACAAGGTTTTTGCCTTAGGATGCATGTGCTCCCCAGGGGGGAGAGAGGGAGAGAGATAGACACAGTGAGAGGGAAGTTGAAAAAATCATCCCTCAAGGGGGATAGCCACACTGCAATCCCTTCTCTTCCATTCTCCTCCAGGATATTGGGCACACATGCACGGGGCACACATGCACGTGCCCGGCTAAGTTTCACGCCACCAGGTCCAAGACTCAGACCGTGTTCAGCCGTGTGGGAGGGAGTCCTGCGATGTAATTGTTACGCCATCTGCTGGTCCTTCCATTTGTTTTCGTACATGAGGTCACAAGTATGTGTGAAGGTTGATAGTACATTCATTAGGGAAACTACATAATTATTATAAGGTGCTCATGTCCGATTTTGATAAAGTAAGGTTAGGAGTTTAGGCCTGAACTGGTAATTGTCATCAAGAAGCTTGTAATAATAAAATGAAATCATAGCTGGTTCTTTCCAACATTTTGTTGTTGTTGTTGTTTCTTTTTTAATTGCCAGAGAGCATGTGTACTTGCCAGTCAGAGAAAGACAGAGAGAGAACACATCCCCCAGCAAAGCATGGCCTCCTTGTAATCCCCCTTCCTTATTTTTCCTCCAGTCAGAACTCCAGGCATGCACACACTCACACCTGGTATTCTCCAAGCAGCCAGGGTTAGGGCTTCATTTGTGCTTGATCACGTGGGCACTTCATTTAACTACTATACTCTGGGCCAGTCCCTCCAACATTTTCAAAAACACCTATTCTAAAAAATTAAATAAGCATATGTGTGCATCTTATTCATACTTCATCTTGAGGTTTTCATCACATTCTGTAATCTTTTTTTTTTTTGATAGGTACATCTGTTCTTAGTTAATGACATTTGCACAAACGAGCTTGTTGACTGCTGTACTGTAGAGTCAACAAATTTTATTTGACTGTTCAGGATTTAATATTATCTTCTTGGACTTCCATGCTTAAAATTTCTGAGGAGAGAAGAAATGACTCCTTAATGATAGTGTTCTTTTTTCCTTTAGGGCTTTTGACACATTTAGAGTGTCTGTGTTTATATAGCATCATCCATTTATGGGGCCATTATGAGAGAAAAGGGGCTTTTAAATTTTTACTTTTGTACTACTTGCTTTTATTTGCCACCCCGTGAGAGAGAGTCAGAAAGAACTAAATTCCATAAGCTACCATGGCTTTGTGGCTAAGGGAGC